TCTCGGCCTCTTGGCTAAGATCACGTGTAGTATCTGTTCTTATCAGTTTATCATCTGATACGTCCTCTATCCGAGGACAATATATTAAATGGATTTTTGGAGCTGGGAGATGGAATAGGAGCTTGCGCCGTCCACTCCACGCATCGACCTGGTATTGCAGTACTTCCAGGAACAGTGCACCCCCTTCTTGGGAAAAAAAAAAAAAATTCTGTTCAAAATGCATTCACTATAAATTATTTCCAAATAATTCTTTAAAAACACTTACTTTTATTGTCATTCTCTCTTTAACCTGCTGCAGTCAGGCACACCACCAACCGCTTGATAGAAACTGGTCATGTCAAGATCATTTTGACTTGGACATTGCCAAAAAAAAAGGGCAGTTCTCAGTCATCGTCTTACCTAACTTAGCAGCAACATTTTACAAGATTGATCACTTTCTACACCTGGGTTTTTTTCCCCCCACTTTCTACATCTTGAAATACTTTTATTCACTTTCTTCCAGGATACAAAACTCGTATCTCACTGGTTGCTCTTTCTCAAGGACAGTTGTGGGTTCTTCATCTCCCCCTTGTACTTTTAATTTTAGAGTACCCAGGGCTCAGTTCTTAGATCACTTTATATATATCTATAAATATTCCCTTGGTGATTTCATCTAGTCTCAAATACCACTTATATTTTGACCATTCCATTATGTATATTTCCAGCTCAGCTCTAGCAAACTCCAGACATATTTCCACCCATCTACTCAGCATCTCAGGTTTGATATGTACAAAGCAAACTTCTGATCTTCCTTCCTAAATAACTGCCTCCAGTAGCCTTCCCCATCTTACCTGACGGCAACTCTATCCTTCCAGTAACTCAGAACACAAGCTATGAATCATCCTTTACCTCTCTTTAATGCCCTACATCAAATCCGTAAGGAAATCTTGCCAGATCTACTTTCAGAATACATCTGGAATCCAACCACTTTTCACCACCTCCACTGCTACCACCCTGGTACGAGCTGCAATGATTTCTCATCTGGGAACATGTAACAGCCTCCTAACTGGTTTTCCTATACCACCATTGCCCCTCTACAGTCTATAATCAAGATAGCAGCCAGAGTGATCCTTCTAAAATGTATGAAAGATAAAGTCATTTATCCGCTCAAAACTCAGTTGTCGCTTTACATTCCACTTAGAATATAAGCCAAAGCCTTTATGGAAGTCGACAAAGTCCTATGTGACCTGCTCTGCCCCCAGCCCCATTATCTTTATCAACTTCTCTCTCACTACTCTCCCACTACTTTGGGCTGAAGCTACACTGGCTTCTTTGATGTTCCTAGAACTTGCCACATACACCTTCCATAAGAGTAACTCCCTTCAAGTCTTTGCACAAATTCAGCTTCTCAGTGAGGCCTACACTGACCATCCTGTTTAAAATTGCAACACACCTTTGACCTGCCTGCCCTCCCAATTCTCCTTCCCTGTGCTACATTTTCTTTTTCCAAAGAGTTTATCACTTATATCATAATTTACTTATTATGGTTATAGTTTGTCTCCCTCCTCAAGAATGTAAGCTCCAAGGTTGTTGACCTATACATTTATTCTACACATCTAGACCAATACCTGGCACAATTAGAGGCTCAGTAAATACTTGACGACTGGATTAATCAATAAGTATCTCTGGAAACTGTTAGAATTTTCTGATACGTTAAGATTTCAGGCATTTCACCAGGATGAGTCTAGGTAGTAGCTTTTTGTTTTTGTTTCAATATCTTGTTTAACACTCAGTTGGCCCGTCTTCGGCTTTGGAAAATTCTGCTCTTCCTTAAATTATTTTCTCCCCCTCATTGCTTCAGTCCTCTCCTTCTGGAACTCCTGTAAGATAATTATAGACCAGTCTGATGTTGCACCCTATGTATTAACTTTTCTTTCATATTTTTTAATTTCTTTTTGCTGTATATTCTGGTGGACTTTATCTTGCAGATCACCAATTTGATCTTTAATTGTACTCATATTATTCAATTTTTGAATGATTTTGGTATTCATTATAAATTTAAATCGCATTTTCTAATCGCTCAGTTTTCATTACAGGCAGTGTTAAATGACAAGTACAAAGTGGAAAGGGAAGTTATACTATTGGAGGAGGAAAAAGTATCAAGAGTGGTTAATAGAAATAAAATGAGTTACTACATTCAGAAGAAAGCGTATAGAACATGAGAACCTGTGGAGACACTGGAAAATGAAGATGCCTTCTCCTTACCATCACTGCCCTGGCCACCTCTTATAATTACAGTGAGTAACAATAAATAGAAACTGCACAACACATTATCTAAGTGGCTCCACCTTAGGGCAACATTTGTGGAGAGGTTGGGGAACAGTTTGGGTATCAAAGTTAATAAGAGTAAGAGTCTGAATTTTGTATGAGTCAAAATAGGCCTGCAGTAGAGAACCTATGTTCTGCATGTCTGCTACATCACTCACTGACTTTGGTTGGGGTCGTTGTGAATGTAAACCAAATATGGATTCACATTGCTTCACCTCTCCTGATACCATCATTACATAGGAGATTTAGACAAGAACCTGTGCCTGATTTATTGATGAAATAGTCTATAAAAGTCTTGGAATACTAAATTTTTAAATCATCTTCCAGTCCCTGAATTACGTTTCGTTCCTTCAGGGTTGGTTGTTGAGGCTTCTCTTCCTTGTTGATTTTCCTTAAATGTCTAACATTCCTTGGACATCTGCACGTGTTTATAAAGAACTTCATCAAAAACTGCACAGATAGCTAAGTAAAGTGGTTTCCTCATCAATTATGTATGTCCACATTAGATATTCTTTTTAAATAAGGGCTGGCTATGGTCTGTGTAAGTTATTCCAAGCATTTGAACAGCCAGGGGCCTACAGGTGAATGTGTGATCATGCAGAGGCTGTTGCCCCCTGCAATGCCAAAGTAAGGAGGATTTATTACGAGAATGGAGTGCTGCCTTTCCTTACCAACATCCTCCCCACTCCCAAGTGGAAGTTCACCTCACCTCTGTTCTACCTTTCTGTCACACCCCAAGACCTTCATTGGAAAGCCTCCCCAGAGATAATCCCTTTATTGAGAGAGCTATTCTTACTCTCTGCCCTGATGAAAAAGCATGCCTGTCAACAACTGTTTACCTAGAAGGAGGAGAAAGATAGAACTCCCCAAAGCAGTTCTTCAATGAATTATTATGATTGAATTCCTGTCCATTCCTTCTGTTGTGTTTTGGGGAGGGGGTTTGTGGTGAAATGAGTTCATTTATGTGGCCTTTTGCCTTGCTTCTTTGGAAGAACAGCTTGAGAGATTTTTCCCAAGTCCTGAGGAGTTACGTTTGCCCTAGTTTTTTACCCCAGACGGTTTGTTACTATTGTCCAGGTTGATTGACGTTTCCTGGATAAACTGCAAACAACTTGGTTTTGATACTTTTTGTCTGGTCCTGGGCTGCACCCTGCCCATAACTGGTATGCACCTTGCAGGGATTGCTCAATAGACTATGCAAATGAAGCGTGTCATAGCCTACTTTGCAAATGAAGTGAGGATTGGTCAGTTTGTGGCCTCACTGGGAGAGACCATGCCTTGAAATTGACAATGAGTTGTACATATAAGCAACCGATCCCACAGTTTTTTAGAGACAGAAAGCAATAAGCAGCAGAAGACAGAAAGGAGAAGCAGAGAGAATAAGGAGGCAAAGGAACCTCCTAAAAGAGCTGTTAACATGGTCAAAGGCTCTAACACTGAAGACAGAGAGGCCCAGAAGGGCCCCAGAGGCAGAGCTGACAGTGACAGACAGCAGGGCAAAGAGGAGCCCATCCTGAGGGGGTTGAGAGGAGTGGGTGTTCAGGAGATCGACAGGAGGCCTGTCCTGGGAGACAGAGTGAGACCTGCACAGCCAAAAGGAGCTAAGAGAGCTCTCCTGCACTGAAGAAGGGATACTTTGTCTACATTCTTCTTGATCCTGATCTCAAATTGTACCGTTCCTTAATAAACCACTTAACTGTAAGTATGATCTGTAAATTCTCTGCGGCTCTTGCAATGGATTACCAAATCCAGCAGAGAAGTAGAATGCCGTGGGAAGGATGGCTGGTGTCAGAATTAGTAAAAAGGTTGGAGAGTGGAGGTATGTCTGACTTCCACCTCATACGAATCAGCCTTGTGCTGATCTTGATTCGCATTATCCTCTCTGAAGTTATACAGATTCTGACACTACTACTGCTACTACTACCATTTTACAGGGTTGTTGCTGTTCATTTTTCCAATCTGAGCATGAGAGCTTCTCCAGGACACTTCGGCTGTCGTGTTATTCTGATTTCTCTCAATCCAATCCCTTCTGCTTTATACATTCCTGGGATGTCTCAAAACATCTGGCTGTTGTTTCCCAGAAGTGGCATGACTTCATTTTTATACATGTTCTGTCATTTCATTGAGACCGAGGAGAAAAATAATCCTATACCGTCTATATTCAACCTGTCATCTGGAACTGAAAGCCCCAGCATTAACATGAAGAACTTTAGAGACCTATGGTTGGGACCAATCTCCTCTGTATTCTGTTTAGCAATGGTCTCACTTTCCTCTAGTGTGTTCTTTTCACCGCTAAACAGAAACATTTCAAAAAATTAAACTAACCACCCCAAGAATGTACAAATTCTTAAACTGATCTTGGGCAACCCAAATTCTCATGCAACTAATCTCAGCCAAGTGGGCCTGAAACTCTTAGCTCAAAAACACTGCCTACAATCAGCCACGAGATCAATAGGAGTCCATTATTCCAATTCTGAAGCACCATGACACCAATAACCAAAAGAATCACATGCCCACTACATGCCCTATAGAATTTAATGCAACATATTGAACCAAAAAAACTCAAGTTATAGAATTTAGCTCAAGAAAAAGATTATCATGATAAACTACTATTTTCCCAGAAGGAACAAAGACTTTAATAGACTTCATTTGTGTAGGGAGTGTAGATGAAGTTATTTTATTGGTCATTTCTTCAAGTATAGAAGTTTGTCATTTTCATTCTTTGTACATTCCATCTACACAAACTATGAACAAGAAAAAATTAAATTTTAAGTTATTGAGGAACTTTTATGTTGATTACTGGTTTAATTTCTAGTTGCTTATATTTTATACACACACACACACTTCTATAGGTTACTTCGGTGACTTTCTCGATAGTTTGTCAAGTTTGTATGATTCAGGGTCCATCTTTCCTTGTGAAAAATAAGCTGAAGAGCTAAAAGGGAAGTCAAAAAAGAGGGGATCAAAATAAATGTTCAGCATGGGGAAAACAAGAAAAATAGGCCTTGCGGAAAAAGGGACAGATGCTAACAATATAAAAATAATATACCCTTAAAGTTAATCTTGATTTTTAAAATGTAACTTTTTTTTCTTTTTGCCTCTTTTTTATTTGCTAGTCTACAATCTTCAGTCTAAAATTCAAAGCATGGCTATTTTCTTACTGTAAAACAAAGTAGTAGGTGTATTTTCCTGGAAATAATTAGGATACCTAAATCTAATAAATTATTTTTCTTCACTTTTCGAATTAAAGATTAACAAATATGTTTGTTAGTTACCACTGAGTCAATTCCAACTCATGGCGACCTCATGTGTTACAGAGAATTGCTCCATAGGGTTTTCTTGTATGCAAAGTCTCTGCTTTTTCCCAACTAGGCCCAAAGAGGAAGGAACTGGTGGGAGAAACACCTGCTCCTAGCAAGCAAATACATCAGAATTATATTTAACATGAGCTTCAAACGAACAAAATGTGTAAGGGGAGGAGAATGATAACAAACAAAGAAAAACTACCAAATGGCACACAAGGTCACATCAGGATTTTCCGGTCAGTCAAAAATAATTCTGAAATACGGCCTATGATGATATGTTTATACAGCCCAATTGCTTATACACCCTCTATACCTCCAAAATTGCATAATAAAATTTTAACAATAAAATGACAAGAGAACATGAAGTTGTAAATATTATTATTTCTTTCACTCACAATGTTGCATTAGACATTTACTAGTTTTAATATGTATCCATAGGATTAATACTCATGTGGAGTATGACATGGAAAAGTGCAGAACTAAAGTTTATCTGAAAACAAAAGCACACATTTCTTAGGATTTAAAAATATTGCACATAATAAGGTTGCACAGAAATTACTGGCTGTTTTTACAAACTGAATGAGGTATTAGTCAATCTCTAAATAAGGATGAGTGCAGAGGAACCACAAAACACAACACAAATCCATATTAAAATCTAGAGTGTCAACAACTAAGACGTATGAAAAGATGTGTAAAGTAGCTATGATTTCAACACTACAAATCATTAGCTAGGGGCCAAACACATAATAATCTCTTGGTAGTATTTCATACGTTTTCAACTTTCTTTCAACCTAAATGACTACAAGCAATACAATCATTTCCTTTACTCCACTTCCACTGTAGAAAGACATGGTTCTGTGGTAAATATCAAAACATACCTTAGCTTTCCTAAATTTTGATAAATAAGAAAAAAATTTTAAAAAATTTCTCAGGTAAGTTAACAGATTTCTAAATCTTTCAGTGGCAATTAACTAAGATACTGCTGTCCCTTGCTGAATGACTCCATTATAGTGTCATGTGCATTTAGCAACCCAAGTCAGATACTACAGAGCATGCAATTTTAAATTAGTAAAGGTTTCACTGCAATAATCATTCAAGTTCACACAACTGAAATCTACAGTAAGTTTTAAAGTTTAACGTTTAAATAGGTATCAGGCAAACTCAATCTTTTCTTGGTAATAAAACTGGCCACATTAATGAGCCCAAGGGCAGAAAGATTAAAAAAAAGACCAGGCAGATTTAGAATATCTTTTTCTTTTAAAAGAACCTTTACTAATCAGGGAAATTAATAATCAGCTATTTCTCTAACTAGCTGAATGCTGCTGAATTTGTCAAAAACAATTTAAATATATTTAATAGCTATACTAAGTTGTTCAAAGTAAGGTGAAATCATGCACTTGTCAAAATGGTTCACAGAAAATTGTTTTGCATCAAAGATACTGAGGAACAGTCAACTAGTTGGGTTTAGTGAGAACAGGAAAAGAATAAACTACTGTCCCGAACAGTCAGTGTACGTAGTAACCATATTTCCCCTTCGTTGAGTGACAGTCCTGCAGTGCTTGCTAGATCCGTGGAATCTTTTTTCAGTCTGTACTGTATGCTGACTGGTACTGTCAAAGCCACTAAAAGAAAACATTTTCTCCATGTCTTCAAACATGTCATCAAACAGTCCGCCTCCAAAAGAAAACTCCTGGAAATGATGTCTTTGTCTACTGGAACCATCCTGGCGTGTATGGAAGTGATTTTCAAAATGCTTCTTGGACCGAGTGTTCTGGTTTTGACCAAAAAAACCAAAGTCTTTAAATAAGTCATCAAAATTGAAGTTAAATGACTGCTCAAAAGGACTTCCACTGTCTCTTTGTCCTTTACCATTAGTAAAAGCACTGTGTCCAAGTGTATCATACTCTTTTCGCCTATTAGCATCTGAGAGGGTTTCATATGCTGAAAGAGATAAAAATACTTTAATAACTGAAGGTATTCAAAATTATATATAATCAAACCTCTTCAAATAAATGAATCCAACTCTATATTCTAGGAAAGGACTTCACATCACAACTAAAGCCAAAACTATATAAACATAAGAATAAAGTAAAAATGAAAGTTACTTTGTCTTGTTCACTACTGTATAATCAGAATTTAGCACAATTCCTGCCTCTAGTAAATACTCAACAAATATTTGTTAAATGAATGCTACCAATACTACAAATAAACATGTTGGCAACAATTTCAGAGTTTTTTACTCTTCATATTATTTGTATAAAGCCATTACTTGTACTAAAGAATTAAATCATCAAACATAACCTATCAGGAGTTGTCACTTTCTTATTAGTTGAAGTAAATGTTTAATTCCAACTCCCTACTCAGTTACCTCCATCAACCAGTAACTGCTGAATGCTCAGGAGGTGCTGCATGTTTCAGAACTTAAGTCAAAATTTCTTTCATACTTTTCCTTCAAAGATAAACATGGCTTTGTAAGGTATATCAAGTAGGGGAAAAAACCTAAGGCATTTCAGAGTCTATTTTGATTTTTATTTAATCCTCCTACTTAGTAAAATACCGTGTTTCATAAGTTAGTTCCTAAGTGAGTCTGGGTACTCAAAATTCATTTTCACACAGAAGCAATTTTATAAATAATGAAAGAAGTAGTACATTTTCAGTATTTTTAGATCTGTATACCTATAAAATTATCTGTTATCATTCATCTATTCAAGAATCAAACTATCTGTTATAATAGTCTGAGAATCTCACTACATTTAAATGTTGATCCCACTCCCCCTCCCATCTCCACAAAACCTTCAAATATATACACACTTATTAGCTATCATTCTCCTGTACTAGTTTATACCTGTGAGACCTCAGACACAATCATTCATTTATTTACCTTCTGCAATCTCTCTGAATTTTGCTTCAGCATCAGGGCTCTTATTTTTGTCAGGGTGGTACTTCACGGCCAACTTGTGAAAGGCCTTCTTGATCTGGCGGTCCGATGCTGATTTTGGCACACCTAAGATATCATAGTAACTTTTTGAGGCCAGAATTAATTCTGTTATCATTAAAATGCAGATTGCAAAGATGAAAACTGACTGGGGAGTAGCCATTTCTAATGTCCTAAAAAAGAAAAGGGGAAAAAGAAATTTTTTTTTTTAATCCACGGAGCTAGTCTTAAGACTGTTTTCTTTTAAAAAACAAAAACTCAGTGAACCTTTAGGATACAAAGAATACTTAATGTAATATCAAAATATTAGGCATATAATATAGTGTATCTATTGACATGTTATTTCATTTACACATCAGTTTTATTACCCCCAATTTGGCTGTAACCTTGAAGGCAAACAGTATTCAACCATATTGAGAAAAAATTGTCATGGCTTTGCCTTTCACACTAATACTCTGGCCATACTCAGAAGAGACACAAAAATATTCAACAACTGATTTTTACCAATTAGTATTAAAAACACATCCTACGCAAGCATTGTAGAAACAGTGGAAAACCCAAATTATTTTTAAAAGATCCCAATCTGATTTTCAAGAATTCATATTCTAAGAGGCTAAGAAAATGTATTTAACATCGTGAGAAAAAGGGAGAACATTACCAAGGTAAATAGCCCAGTATGTCTAAGTTAACAGCAATCTTCCCTCCCTAAGGCAGCACCAACTTCAGCTTGCAATTCAGAAAGATGAACTAAAGACAGCAAACAGTATCTTAATATTACAACAGAATACAATAATTTTTTTTTAAAAAATGTAAAATATTAAGTATTTAACAACGAATCACGGGTAGATAAATTGTTTAAAACTCATATAATTAATAGAGTCAAGATTTCTGCTAAGGTTGCCAGAAAGATGAACCTTCATAGTTTGTACTTCAGATGAGTTAAGTTCTTATTTTCAAACTTTTCAGTAGTTATTAAATATTTCTCTAACCTTAAAGGAGAATTCAACAACAATCTCCTGATAATACAGATTTAATGACTTGTGGTTCAAAACTCAGTGATTTTTTTGTTTTTGTTTTGGAATACTGTACCACAGAAGCCCTTAATAACCTATGATGACATAGTAACAAAGCTGACGAAAAGACACTACGGTTTGTGGAAATTGCCTGCCTTCCTCTCCTGTGGCCTTTCCTCGGCGTAATTAGCAGGTGGATTACTTCTTTCCAGAGAGTTACTCACAGTCACGGGTACCAAGGACTAAGTACAGAGAACACAAACGGGGCGTGTCCTCTGGAGCCGCATCCACTGACGGTTGCTCCCTAGTCAAGGGGCGCGAGTCTAAGACCGACTGGGAAACACCTTACTAGTGGCTTCATTAACGTTATCCCACTGTTACAAGTTCAACATCGAATCATTTCTAAGTAGAATGACTTGTATTTTACTGATTTCTCATCCTCAAGAAGGACCTGCCCAATAGCAGTCTCGGCCTTACTCCCCGGCGCCGGTAGCTGGCTGGGTTGGACCGTCCACCCTTCACCCACAGGCGACGAGCACACGCGCAGCCCGTCTAGGCCCGGGTCCATCCCTGGGAGTGGCTGTCTGACGCCCGAAAAAGCCAGCGGCACCCCCAAAACCCTAAACGCACTACTCTGTGATTCGGCGTCTTCTTGCTCCTACTCCCTTCTACAAGAACATGAGGGAGCCTGAAGCCCTTGTGGCGACTGAGGCGGACGCCGAGGCCAGGCCTGCCCACAAAGACCGGCCAGGGCTTCGGGGACGCTCCAAAACCCCTCCCGCGAAGCGGCCTCGTCCCTCACTCGCACCCTTCGGTTGCTGCTGCTCCCCAGAGCCTAGGCGCCGGCGAGGCTGACGATGGGTTCCACGCGGCTACTCGGTCCTGGGCCCTCACCCCGGCCACCGCGGCCTCCGGCAGCCGGCGTGCACCCCACTGCACAGCGATCTGGCGCTCCTCCTCCGGCTGCCGCCGCCGCGTCCTCTCAGCCCGCTCCCCACTAGAGGACGGCGGCAGCTGATGCAGCCACCTAAGGAAAAGATCTACACGAAACGCTTCCCCATTGGCTGCGCCTTTCCACCTGACCCTGAGGCCCTAGGCGCACGTGGAAAACTGTTGTCGCCGCTCAGCCTGTACGTCACTTCCGGCCCCAACCCCCGGCAGAGCGTTGCTGCGGCCGTCGGAGGCGGAAGTGACTAGACGTTTGCGAAGACTCCCTCCCCCCGCCCCAACCCCGGGGCCGATCCTGGCGCAGGCGCAGGCGCGGGGCTCGGGAAGCTTGGGTGTGCGGCCCCGCCTCAGTTAAGTAGGGCTGGCCTGTACCCTTCAGCCGGCCCGGGTGTCCGGGGCGTCATCCGAGCGATGCCCCGGTATTGCGCAGCGACTTGCTGTAAGAACCGCCGGGGACGGAACAATAAAGACCGGAAGCTGAGCTTTTATCCGTAAGTTGTCCCTGGAGCAGCGTCAGCGCTGCTTGTGGGTCGCCGTCCTGCAGCGTTTGGAGCAAGGGCTTGGGTATCTCCTGTTTGCTGTGTAAATAAGTCCTCAGCTCACAGGGCGTGGTCGGTCACCGCGCGGGGAGAGGGCGTGCAGTTCTGGGTACCAGGAAATGTCTTCCCTGAGCGGGGACGCCGGGCTGTTGGTGAGGCATCGGGACTTTTTGGGTGTTGATACCGACTGTCGTCGAGTCAGTGCCTACTCATAGCGGCCCTGTAGGACCGAGTAGAACTGCCCCATAGGGTTTCCAAGGCTGTGAATCTGTACGGAAGCAGGACGACTTTTCCCGTGGGTTCGAACTGTCCATATTTTGGTTAACAGCTGAGCTAGCGCTCTACTGCGCTACCAGGGCTTCTCTGGGTGTTGATAGCGCAGTTAAAACAGTAGTTTTCGCGTTGTTCCGTGTTATTCAGAGCTCTTCCCCACCCCACTTAACCTCATTTCATTGAAAGACATTAGCCACCACCTAAGTGACATCAAACCTGTAAAGGGCTAGGCGGGAAGGTGCAAAGTTAAGTTGCAGCCCCTGTGAGTTAAGCTGTATTTTGTTGATCGTTGCCGTGGAGTCCCTTCCGACTCATAGCGACCCCATGTGTGTAGAGTAGAACTGCTCCAGGCCTGTCTTCCGAGCACTTCTGGATGGGTATTATTTAACTACATTTTTCTCTTGAGGAAACTGAGGCTCAGAAAAATTAAATAACCGACCTTGAAAGCTTAACAGGAGAGTGAAGTGCCTTTCCGAATTACTAGTGCCAGGAACAGAGAGAGGCTCTAAAGCTTGACTTGGTGGGTTCAAATCCTAGTACTACTGCATTGTAGCTGAGTGACCCGCCAAATTATATAAGCAGTAGGTGCTTCAGATCTCTCATTTGTAAAGTGGGAGTATTGTTTTGTGTTGTAGAGTCTATTCCAACTCATAGCGACCGTATATGACAGAGTAGAATTGCCCCATAGGATTTTCATGCTGAGTGTAAATTAAAGCAATAAAACAGCGGCTGGCACACATTAAATGCTTAATATATATAGAAAGCATGAAAATCAACATATTTAAAGTATTACATTTCCATGTTTTCTGTATTTGGAAATAATTCACGTGGGTCTAACCTGGTTGTCTTTTCCTTTCTTTGAATCTTCACCACAGCTATTTTTTGAAGCCTGTTTTACTTTAGACCTGAAGTTCTCTGGCCACTGATGATTCAGTTGCTTTCCATTATCTTAGATAAAAGTAAAAGAACTAATAACTCCAAGTCATTCACACTGCATGGCAATATTTCCAGGATTGTCTCCCTTGAAACCCTTCCACAAGATGCAAAAGAGATACTGGGGAGGAGGGTGGGATGGCAGGGAGGGAACTCTTGGTCAGTTGATTGGGAAATGTTGCTGTGTTAATGGCTGTGGCTCTGAAAAAGTTTGTGGTAAAGGATGATTATGTTGAACTTAATTCCACATTTCATCCCAGATTTATGATTTATTTGGCCTTGGATTTGGGTGAGGGGGCATAATCCCAAACTAAAAATTCTTTAAATTAACTTTGTGAGCCTTACAGTTACTGTTTTTAACGAGGAATAAAAAAATGTAGTGCCAGATGAAGTCAACTATAAAGATTGTTTCCCCCTTAAAATGTGAATTTAGTGAAGATAGGATTTTTAATTTTGATAGGTTTTTGCTTCCATATGTAACTCACAAAATAAAAATGAAAAATTTTTATTTTCCTAATAGCACCAAACTTGAATGAATTGGCTCTTAACCCTATAGCAGTCTGTAATATAAATTTTTATGAATTAGAGGATTCAGTAAATATTTACACATACTTTCTAGTTTATACTGTGATTATCTAATGCTATTTTGGGAATAAGACAGTGAACCAAAATTATTAAACAAATTGGACCAACATAAAGATACTAAATTGTTCTGGAAACGTATTCCAGGAGATTTCTTAGCAATTTACCCATTAAGAATGTAGTGCAATCCAGTTACCAATAAGGATATTCACAAAATGTATTCTTTAATAACTTAATATATAGGTACAATAGATGTAATTTACAAACACTACCCTTATAAATGAAATTACATAAAAAGATATCATTGTAAAAGGCATATCGTCATTGTAGATACAGTAGTAAAGGTATGAAATTAACTATGGCTAGCAGAATTCAGGTCCTCTTAAAAGAAAATTCATTTTGCCTTTAAATGAGTTTTTCTTGTTATGCCTGTCATACTTATAACCTAGATTGTTGATATGTGCAAGGTTAAAAATTTTTCAAATGATGTATGAATAGTGTATCTGTGGTGAGAATTTCCAAAGACAGAACATCTGATATTTCCATATAAGGACTTCAGGGAAAAATATTTCCTGCAAAATACCCAGACTCTTCTCCCATAGCATTGTATAAAACTATTAAAATTTAGAAAAGAATCGTGCTACAACAAAGTATAAACTAAATGGTTGGGATTGGTGGTAAATGTATAGCAGCCTCTTTTTGTATAAGAACCTATACTGCTACTGTTTTTACAAAATAGGAAATTATATGCAGTATATGTTTTGGACTGTGTTACTGGAAAATCAAATGAAATATAGTCTGCTGTCAGTAATTGTTAATGTAGTTAACCCAAACCTATCAGACTGGTAGAAAAACTTTTCTATCAGATTAACTGCCATTAATCCAGTTTTGCTTAGAAAACACATTGTAATATGTTACAGCCAACTCTAAATCCAAGTTATTGTCAGTACAGGAACAAAATGTGTAAAGACCTGTCTTGCCTTTATCTTTTTTGTTTGATTTGTTTCATATTATAAAATATGAGTCTGCCCTTTTTAACATGTTCAGTTTTCTTGCATCAGAATTTCTTTTAATACCTTAGGGTTCCCAATCTATTGGTTGTAGACGTCTGGAGATACTGGACTAAATTACATATGAGTAGAATTGAGGCTGAGGCCAGTAAAGAGAATGGAATATTGGTAGTTTTGTAAGATTTAATTTTCATCTTATTGTCGCAAAACCATTTGTTTAAATTAGGTCTCCTTATTTCAAATTTTGTTGTCTGTATGTAAGAGAGAAAGGTGTTCACTATGTTTGATGTTCATACATTTTGGAAATTCCTCTAATATGTTTTTAAAAGTTCGTATAAACAGAATTCTAAAGCTAAAGACTGCTTCGGATAATAGACAAGAAACCATTTAACATATGCTATTAGTATGAAATGCATTTGAATAGAACTTTGTACTTTATACAAAGCTCTTTCCTAGTTCTCGGCAAACTACACAAGAGAAAATAGGACTTAAATTCATGGAAAATATGAATAAAATTTATCCTTTGTAAGAACACATATTTTATCTTAGTCTTCTCATTGCAGAGAGAGAGAGTTGTCATGAAGATTCTCTTATACAGTAGTGATGGTGGCCTTGATTCTGTAGCACTGAGGCACAGGTGACCTAGATATGTAGGTCTGGATTCAGGCAAAACTGTAAAAATATAGCAAAGTTTTCCTTTTTTTTTTTTTTTAATTTCAGGTTTCCTCTGCGTGACAAAGAAAGACTTGAAAAATGGCTAAAGAATATGAAACGAGATTCATGGGTTCCTAGTAAATACCAGTTCCTGTGTAGTGACCACTTTACTCCTGACTCTCTTGACATCAGATGGGGTATTCGATATTTGAAACAAACTGCAGTTCCAACAATATTTTCTATACCTGAAGACAGTCAGGTATTGTGGGCAGAGTGTGGGGGAGAGAAATTAATGTTGAGCAGGGTGGCAGATTGCCAGGCAGGTTATCAGGTGGAGGGGGTGAGAGGGAAAGATAACTGTTAGAAAAACAGATACTTAGGAAAAACTAAAACTAATTTGTGTTTTTAAAAGAGTAATTTTTTTTAAAATGTTAAGCTGTCTTGAAGCATAGCTTAAAAGAAGTAATAAAAGATAACATAAGTTATTAATATGTTAATGAGGGGGAATTTTTTCGTGATCATTTGAATGATCTGAGACTCTTCCCTCGTGTATTGAATGTGCTTACCCATTGCCATCGAGTCAGTCCTGACTTAGCAACCCCATAGGACAGAGTAGAACTGCTCCCTAGGGTCTCCAAGGCTATATAATATTTATGAGAGCAGACTGCTACATCTTTCTCCTGCAGAGCAACTGGTAGGTTCAAACCACCGATTTTTAGGTTACCAGACAAGTGCTTTAACCACTGCCCCACCAGAGCTTCCTTGAATGTGCTTAATGCTATCTAAAAAACACCTTTTGAGTTGTTATATACTTAGAACTTTTTTTTTTTAAGTGAATAAGCTTACTTGGCCAGTATCCTCCTCAAAGTTATTAAATAATTGGTCCTAATCTATAAAATAAAGGCATTTACTAGAGCTCTGGTGGCACAGTAGTTAAGCTCTTGGCTGCTAACCCAAAGGTTGGCAGTTTGAATCCACCAGCTGCTTTGCTGGAGCAAGATGTGGCAGGCTGCTTCCATAAAGATTTCAGTCTTGGAAACCCTATGGAGCAGTTCTACTCTGTCCTATAGGGCGCTTTAAATCAGAATCAACAGCAGTGAGTTTGGAATTATTAAGAAAAACCTGAAAAGGGCATCTTTTTTAGAATTTGAAAATACTATTTTCTAGGGAAAAGACCCTTCCAAAAAAAAGTCTCAGAAGACGAAATTAGAGGATGAAAATGAAGTATGCCTAAAAGCCAAGTCAGAAGAATCATTTGCATCAAATGAGCCAAAGAAAAATACAGTTAACACAAATGTGCCCTCCGAATGTGCAGAATTACTTGATTCATCTGGTTTGGTGAAGCCACCAGCTCCAAAAACAGAAAGTATACAAAATAATATACTAACTCTTAATCTGGTTAAACAAGTTATTGAAAAACCAGAATCTACTTTGGAAACATCAGTTAACCAAGGTATAGGTATATGTGGTTTTCACACATCTTTTGAGAATATAAATTCTACAACTATTACTTTGACAACTTCAGATCCAGAAGATATTCAGCGCTCTTTGGGAACCCAAGAAGTGTTTGAAATAACTACCAATCATATTGCTAATCCAAATTTTACAAATAATTCCATGGAAATTAAGTCAGCACAGGAAAATCCAGTCTTATTCAGCACAATTACTCAAACAGTCGAACAATCAAATGCAAATAAGGAATCTGTTATTGCCATTTTCGTACCTACTGAAAATTCTAGACCTACAATTAATTCTTTTATACCCGCCCAACAAGAAACCATGGAAATGGAGGACATAGACACGGAAGGCTCCTTATATAAGGATGTCGACTATGGAACAGAAGTTTTACAAATTGAACATTCTTACTGCAAACAAGACATAAATAAGGAACATCTTTGGCAGAAAGTTTCTAAGCTACATTCAAAGATAACTCTTCTTGAACTACAAGAGCAACAAACTCTAGGAAGACTGAAGTCTTTGGAAGCTCTAATAAGGCAGCTAAAACAGGAAAACTGGCTATCTGAAGAAAATGTCAAGATTATAGAAAACCATTTCACAACATATGAAGTTACTATGCTATAAAGACGTTTTAAAGCTATAACTTTTATATGTTTTTTGCAGCCAAACCAAATTATACGTAAAGTGAACTTTTTCCTGTATAAATTTCTCATCTTACTGAAGCTATGAAAGTGCTCTAATGTTATATACTACTACACATTGTTTTTGTAATGCTCATTTTTGAGAAAAATTAGAGAATTATTGGTTGTTTAGAAAAACTTTTATTATATGATTATTTTCTAAGTTAAAGTGAAAATACAATAAATAAATAATGTGATTAAGTCATTAAATAAGCAAATACTGTGATGGTAAAAAGAGCCCAGAATAGAAGTCAGGCTCAGGAATCAGTCCTAGTTCTACCATTGGCATATAGCTCGGGCAAGTTCCTTATGAAGCTTGAGCCTCAATCCCTAGTCTATGATTATAAACAAAGCCATTTACTAGATCTCTGATGTAGTATGTTTCTTTATAGCTCCTTCCCTTTCTATAAGAACACTTTTAACAGAACAGGTTTTCTATATTATAGTCTGTGCTTCATAATACTATAAGTTGGCTAGAACCGGATATTGCTAACTATTAGAATATCCTCAGTATTTATTAAATTCTGTGTTTAACCTTTGGCTATAGTTTTATACCTGTAATATAAAAGATAATACTTCTTTTGTCAGTTTATTCCAGTTGAACTAAAATAAGGAACCACCCATTAGCCCAGTTCTTAGGAGAAGGACTTCAAGCTTTAAAGAATATGTATTTCAATACCTTATATATAATTAACCATCTTAATACATAATCACTTGAGCTTTGTAACATCCTGTATTTATAAAGTTAAATTTATAAATAAATAAAAAAATGAAAATGAGGCTAAGTATATTTTAGAAATTATAGTGTATCTTCTTAGTAAGTGTAGCTTTTTAAAGTATGTGCCTGTGTCATTTTTAAATTCCAGAAATAGAGTAATACTTATAACCGTACATTATCACTTATGTATATTTTACTGAAATTTATAAGAAATTATAGACATGTGATGACCTTAGAGAGGCAAGTAGGAAAGAGAATTGATGATGATGTAAATAAAAATACTGTTTAAATCCACAAGAATTTAAGAAAAATGAATATAAAAGCAAAGACTTAGTGGTAATAAAATGAATGTGAAAAAATGGGCTATGTGTTCCCTTAAAATTGTCAGTCAATATAATTAAATATACTACTAAAGCAAAGCTTATGGTGTTGGACAAGTTCCTGTCAGTCTCATCTGTAAAGCAAAAGACACTATTTCCTGTCTTATATGATGGATTTGAGAATTCTATAAGGGAACATGTTTTTGAGCCTGGGAAATAGGAGGTGCTCAGTAAATATTAGTTGACTCTGAACAGCAAATAGTACACTAATTGTTTTATAAATGCATAGTGATTATTTTCTGCCAGATTTTACTTATTTTCTTCAGCCTTATAAAATTAATTGGTATTATATGGATGTGTGTCAGCTAATTATAAAAAGTTGCCTAGAGGTGCAACTTTTATTGGGAAACTTTTTATTGGGTAACTATGAGAAAAAATATACTAGACTTTTTTCATAAATTATGTTCAGACATTTAGTAGAGTTAATACTATATTATTTTTAAGTGTTCTCATGCTGCATTTTGCTAATACTAATAAATTATACAGATGAAAGTAAGAACCTTTTAAAATCACAGTAGTGATGTATAGTTTCAGTTCAGTTTTTAGCAGTGTACATCATAGTAATTTTCTGTTTGCTTAAAGTTACAGTTTACTCAGGAATAATTTATATGTTTAATTGTATTTCTTTAAACTTAATAAATTTTAAGTATTTAAGGTATTTTCTTGTCTCGTCTGTGTTCAGTTCAGGATATTCTCAACCTGACCCAGTTAACCTCTGAATTATATTTGGGGTTCAGGCCAACAATATTTCTCATTTGGACTATTTAGGAGCTTCCTGGCTGATTGTCTTAGTTATCTAAGCTGCTATAACAAATACCACAAGTGGACAGCTTTAGCAGAAATTTATTCTCTCACTGTCTAGGAGGCTAGAAGTCCAAATTCAGGGTGCCAGCTCCAGGGGAAGGCTTTCTTTCTCTGTCAGTTCTAGGGGAAGGTCCTTGTTGTTAATCTTCCTTGGTTGAGGAGCTTCTCAGCACAGGGACCCCTGGTCCAAAGGACACGCTATTCTCCTGGCTCGTTTCTTGGTGGTATGAGGTCCATGTCTCTCTGCTCACTTCTCTTATATTTCAAGAGATTGGTTTAAGACATAGCCTAATCTTGTAGATCGAGCCCTGCCTCATTAACATAACTGCCTCTAATCCTACCTCATTAATGTAGAGGTAGAATTTACAACCCATAGGAAAATCATATCAGATGGCAAAATGGTGGACAGTCACATGATACTGGGAATCATAGCCTAGCCAAGTTGAACACATTTTTGGGGGACACAGTTCAGTCTATAACATTTCACCCTTTGGCCTCCCAAAATTCATGTCCTTGCCACATGTAAAACACATTCACCCCATTGTACCATATCAAAAGTCTTAAATCAATCAAGTCCAAAATCTCATCTGCAAAATTTCTCTTCGTCCGTGAAATCGAGAATACAAGTTATCTGCTTCCAAAGTACAGTGGTGGAACAGACACAAGGTAGACATTTCCATTACAAATGGAAGAAATTGGAGGTAAAGAAGGGATAATGCACCAAGCAAGTCTGCAGAACATGTTACATTAGCTCTCAAGGCTTGAAAATAAACCTTTGTTCTCTGAGACCATTTACACAATGGCCCTGCCTTCCAGACTCTGAGTGTTGGCCACACTCTGGATTCTGAGTGGAGGCCCCTCAGCCCTGGACTTCAGCTCTGCCTTCCAGGCCTACTGGAATGGCAACTCTGCCCCCTTGGCTTTGGGCAGCCCCGTTCTAGTCCCTCTGAGTGGTGACTCCACCTTTAGAGACCCCAGAAGCTGTGGCCATACCCTTTGAGACAGGCAGCTCTACTTTATGTGTTCCTTGTCTCTTCAGCTTCTGCTTCCTGGTTCCTTGGCCTCTCAGCCCCTCAGGCCTTGCCACCCAAGTCTGTCATGCTGGTGCAACTGTTCCAAAGTTCTGTAGCTGCACTGGTAAGTGCCTGGAGACACCCCACTATGCCAATAAACTGGCCAAAAGGCACTCAGCTCTCTTGCTTCATGGGTCAGCAAGCCTAGTTCCACTGATAAGTACCTGGAGGCACCCTACTCCACCAGGAAGCCTGCGCAAAGGCACTCGGCTGTCTCATTCTGGGTCAGCTCTAGCACCATCTCGCACTGGTCTCCTGATTCTGCTGCTGCTGGTTCTCTGCTGCTGCTTCTCTCCATCTGCGCTGTCTCCAGCGTAACAGCTCTCCTCATTTCCTTCTGAGTCCTCACCAGAATTGTCTTACCCATTGCCGTGGAGTTGGAATGTCCATAATTCCACCAACAGTCTCTGTGAGGCAATCTAGGCTTTTATTGTTGGGCACTTTAAAAGTCTTCCAGCCTCTACCCATTCACAATTTCAGAACCACTTCCACATTTTAGGTATCTGTCAGAGCAGCACCCCACTTCTGGTACCAAATTCTGTCTTAGTTACCTAGTGCTACTGTAACAAATATCACAAGTGGATGGCTTTAACAAAGAGAAATTTATTCTCTCACAGTCTAGGAGGCTAGAAGTCCAAATTCAGGGTGCTAGCTCCAGGGGAACACTTTCTCTCTCTGTCAGTTCTGGGAAGAGGGTCCTTGTCATCGACTTTCCCTGGTTGAGCTTCTCAGCACAAGGACCCCTGGTTCAAAGGATGCACTATTCTCCTGGCTCTTGTTTCTGGGTGGTATGAGTTCCCCATGTCTCTCTGCTCACTTCTCTCTCTTATATCTCAAAAGAGATTGGCTTAAGATACAACCTAATTTTGTAGATTTGAGCCCTGCCTCATTAACATAACTGCCTCTAATCCTGCTTCATTAACATCACAGAGGTAGGATTTACAACATATAACAAAATCACATCAGATGATAAAGTGGTGACAATCACACAATACTGGGAAACATGGCCTAGCCAAGTTGATACACATTTTTGGGGACACAATTCAATCTATAACACTGATCTTGCTTCTATTTCCAATCTTCCATCTCTATATCATCCTGGGCCCTGCTGTCAGCTTTTTACCTAAACTATAGATCTAACTAACCATGTCACCCACCCACCATGTAATCCCCTTAGTTTAAAAGTCTTTGATTACTCTCTACCTACACAATAAAGTCAAACTTGTCATTGTATATATGATCATCTCTGTTTCTATCTTTCCTGTATTCTAGCCACACTGGACTTTTTAGTGTTTCCCAAACATACCAAATAGGTGTCTATCTTCATACCTGCTTTTTTCCTAGGCTCACCAGTCTGCCAAAATTATATTTTGACATTAAAGCTCAAATGCCTCTTCTTTGGTGGAATGTCATCTCTTTTTTCCAGTCGGAATTGTTTCCTCTCTGCTCTTACAGGACTTTGTTTTATAACACTATTAAAGCAGTTACTTAATACTTTTTTTGCAGCATGACGATACCTATGGCTATCTCTTCAATTAGATTGTTAGCTTTTTGAAAGCAGAATTTTTTATTCATTTTTGTATCTTTGACAATATAATATTCACTCAACAAATATTTGGATGAATATTCTGGATTTGCTTATTTAGCATTTCTTGGTTCTTGCCACTTAAAAGGTTTCTTAACAAAATATGTGTCTTTAGTATTGAGAATGGCTAGGGCAATATATAGATCTTCATATCGTCTTTGAAACATTCCATGTTTCCAATGGACGGTACAACTTACTAATTATCTGCTATGGGAGTTATCAATAAGATTTTTGTTGTTGGAGGCTATCTTGTTCTTGTCCCTACCCCAGGCTTTTTTCCCTACTTTCTATTCTAGATAATCAAGGAGAAATAAGTCCAAGAAAGCTGTGTATCTTTGTGTTTACAAGTCAGGGAGATAGGTAAGTCAAATTTAGAAAAATCTAATCAGTATAAATAAGCCACATATTGACCTAAACTTCAAACAGTTGTGGTTCCATAGGAGAACTTTTTATGTATGTTTTTTGTTTGCTCTTGAAAAAAAAATCAACCACGTACTAAGAGCTAAAATATTGACATACAGGTGAATTTCTCTTATTTCCAGCTGAATTGCACAGCTCTGCCAATTTGGTGTTCAAATACATACTTTTTTGCTTATTAAATTATGTTGTTCATATTATATAATATTTTTGTGGGTAGGCAAAAACACTCATTCACAGTGTCTTAATCATCTAGCGCTGCTATAACAGATATACCACAAGTGGACAGCTTCAACAAAGAGAAATTTATTCTCTCACAGTCTATTAGGCTACAAGTCCAAACTCAGGATGTCATCTCCAGGGGAAGCCTTTCTCTCTCTGTCAACTCTGGAGGAAGGTCCTTGTCATCAATCTTCCCTTGGTCTGGGAGCATCTCAGTGCAGGAACCTCAGGTCCAAAGGACATGCTCTGCTCCTGGCACTGCTTTCTTGGTGGTAGGAGGTCCCCATGTGTCTCTGCGTGCTTCTCTCTTTTATATCTCAAAAGAGATTGGCTTAAGACATTGTCTAATCTTGTAGACCTCATCAGTATAACTGCTACTAATCCATTTTATTACATCATAGTGATAGAATTTACAACACACAGGGTAATCACATCAGATGATAAAATGGTAGACAATCATACAATATTGGGAATCATGACCTAGCCAAGTTGACAGATATTTTGGGGGGGACACAATTCAATCTATGACACAGTTACTGGGTAAAAAAAGCCAAAGAGAAAAAAAGGGGAGGATAAGATGTATCTGTGTAATACACGAATTCCCTCAAGGATGGGAGTTTGTGTTGTTTATCATATTAACTGCCCATGGCTCTTAGGAACAGTACTTTCAATCACAGTGGGTTTAGCTGAATGAGTAATTCATCCATATTAAGTGAAGATATCCTAGAACTAAAGATCTACAGTATCATAATGATGCCAGGTCATTGGAGATTTTGGAACCGAAGAATAATAAATGATTAAAATCTTCATTTCTAGGGATAGCAGTTTAGTGATTTCATTTTGTGCAATTAAACTATATCTTTAGCTCACTCTCTACTCCATTTCTGTTGTGTATTCTGTTGGCTTCAGCATATGCATGGACAACCCATTCAGCTTCCTGGCTTCTTTTCCTTGACCTCCTCATCTCCGTGAACTTTTCCTCCATCCCTCCTCAGCATAAAGATATCTGTGGCTATCTCTTCAACCACCCTGTTCCCATTGTCAGTGGTAGGCCTTATCATCATCAGCAATCGCATCCCCTTAAACAATGTCCATTTGAAATACCTCATTATACCTCCAGCTTCTATTCTTCCAGCAGTTGTTGGAAGAACTCCCACCGCAACCCACTACTTTTTCACTAGCCATCATTCCTATGGTAGGTTGTATTTTCCAAATATGGCTGTAAAAATATATCTCATCCCATATGCTCCTCTGCAGTGTGACCTCATAACTCCCCTGTCAAAAGATAGAGTATATTTCTCTTCCTCCTTGAATCATGTGGGCTCTGTAACTGCTTTGTGACACTATGTCAGTTAGAGACTCAATCCTTAATTGGCCTGGCAGCTTCCACTTTTTCCCTCTTTTGAACAGTCTCTTGGAAAGCCAGATGCCATATAAGAAGTGTGATTACCCTGTGATCATGCTGGAACACCCCAAGCCACATGGAGAGGCTCTGGTGTATGAGACCCATATAAAGATAGACGCATAGGAGAACTGAGACACTAGACAGGTGATTGA